TATCAACCCCTCGGTCAGGAGAAAAGTTACATTAAATTAAAATTCTTCCTGGTGGCGCCTGGGTGGCTCAGTCGGTTGGGTGTCCGACTTCGGCCCAGGTCATGATCTCACAGTTCGTGAGTTCGAGCCCCACATCAGGCTCTGTGCTGACAGCTTGGAGCCTGGAGCCTGCTTCAAGTTCTGTGTCTCCCTCTCTCTCTGCCCCTCCCCAGTTCCTGCTCACACTCTGTCTCTGTCAAAAATAAACAAACTTAAAAAAAAAAAATTTTTTTTTAAATAAAATAAAATTCTTCCTAACGAGAGAAGTTAAATACGAAGGAGAATAAGATTCTGTAAGGTAGGGTTGAGCCTTGGTGGGCCATAGCCATTGTAACATCTAAGATTTTCCCCCTTCCCTGCCCCCAAGAGCCCATTTTCATCCCTTTGGAAGTGACGTCACCCTAATAATGATAAGAATGTATGGTCTACATAGAAATTTCTTTTGGGCAGCAGTTGGAGAGAAGAGACTGAATCTTGGATCAGATTGTGGTTAGAAATGTAGATTTGAGATTTATCAGTTCTGTGCTGAGAAACAATAGAGAAAATCATGGAAACACAGTAAATTACACATTTGAAACTTCTAGATGTTAAAGAAAATGCAAATAATGAAAATATTTTCAGCAGATCTAAGAGATAAAAAATTAAAAAGCTTATCATAGAATGAGTTCCTTTAACATGCTCCAAAAAAACACTAGTTTCCAAGTTGATAAATGGGCACAGGAACAGAAAACTCACAAAAGAAGAACTACGGATAGTAATTGATAAACATACAATAAAAGAAGGGGTGTCTTTTTGCCAAAACATTGCCAGTAAGAATGCAGTGAAACTGACATTGTTCTGCACTGTTGATGGCTCTGTAAATTATACCACCTTTTGGGAACTTATTTACGGACATACTGTATTTCATTGGCTCTAAGATGCCGTCATTTGTAAGGCATGCTGTTATTTTATGTACCACTAAGAAAGAAAAAAGTACTGTCACTTATAATTACAAAATGCCGTCCTGATTTCAGTGAGTTAAAGGGGAAAAAAAGAGTGAACCTTAGGATGAATGAAATACCATATGTCATAAGCCACCTCGGTGACCTTATGCTTTGCACAATAATTTGGAATGCGTCCTGTGGACATCATCTCATAAATGGTCAGGCTGTATCCTTGGAAGATGATCACTGTAGCAATACAGATGCCAATCAAAATGGAACATTTGAAAACTTGCAAAGAATTACATGCAGTAGCTCATAACCACAGAAATAACGTTGTGTCTTACGGAAGAAACGTTATTCGCACAAGATTGTCTCCTAAAAAGGAGTTTTTGGTCACTGGCCAGCCTGTGGTGTGCTCTCTTGGGTTCTGGTGCCCAGCCTTGGTTGGGTCATCCTGTGGCCTAGGAAGGTTGGGGCATCCCAAGCTAAAGGGACAGTTCAGCGTGCTTCCCTCAACAGCCAGTTGTGGGCGGGTGGGGCCTCCATGGATACTGCCAGGGCAGGCATCCAGCACCGGGAGGCGCGGGGCTGGGGCTGGTTCAGGACGGGGTTTCAAGGAGGCTCGAAACAGCCTTGGGTGGGGCCTCACAGCACAGGCCCGAGCGCGCAGAGTATAGGGCAGGCCGGGGGCTCACACATCGCTCTGTTTGCCACCTTGTACAGGTGATCCGGATCCCGTCCTGAGGTGCCTTGTTTCGGGATTCTTTGCCAATGCAGCAAGGTTTCATTCCACCGGAGCTTATAGGTAACTAGTACCTTGCAAAGTCATTTGTTAAAGGAGAAATCTTAAAAATGACCCAGCCCCCTTAGAAAGCTGATGTGCTGGGAAAGTACAGAAATTAAGTTAAATAAGTTGTCTTTATCTGCCTGCTTCCAGAGGTCAGTTGAGATTAACTACATAGCTTTAAGCATAATATCTTAACTTCACGGAAATGATTCCCAAATATTTAGCCCATCCATATGTTGTAGAAGGATGATAATTACAAGCCTGGAGGCTGGAAATGTTTCCATTCTAATAACAGAATAATAGAACCAGAAGGGACTATTAGAGACTGGCTTTCCAGGAGAAGCTCCCTTGGCCGTCGGTGCTTGGTCTCTAGCGATCTGGGGGACCGAGACCCTGGCCTGCCCTGATGCGCCGTAACTTTGGTTTGTGGGTGTTGGCAGGTGTTTCTTCCGGCGCTGGATCTGCCTGTTGCCGCAGACCACATCCCGTTTCTTGCAGTTCCACTTTCTGGGCAGAAAATCACTGGTCACCGACACCCTCCTAATAACCTCAGAACCTCGGCCGTTCTGCTCCAGAACTTCACCAGAACCTGTTTAAAGTGCATCTGTTCTTTCAAACGGGAGCAATCCAAAGGCTTTCTCTCTGACTTTTCTTTGCATTTCCTCCTCATACTATTTTGTCATTATCCTTCTTCCCTCAGAAAATACTCTGTTCCCATTCCCTGGGGGGAGGTCAGCCACAATGTTCCCTCCCAGACACCAGGCTTTGTGAGCGAGCCCAGAGTTGCACTGAGCTCTGGCAGCCAGGTCTCTTACATCTGCTGTCCTAGTAGCTGACTGAGCCCCTGCCCTTGACATTTACCTCTGGTATGTTCTATACCAGTTCCATACTAGTATGGCCAAGTTTTCTAGCCCGTGATCAGTGTCCTGATTCTGTTGCCCGTCACGATGAGCTCCCCCTCCCGGCACTGAGTTGTCCATGTTGGAGGCAACTCTGGGGAGGCCTGTGAGCTTCTCCAGTGAGGCCTGTCATTTTGTTGTCATTTTGATTGTCCCACCTGCCTCAAGGGTATTAATAAGCAATTTCTACCAGTATTGAAAAAATTCTTTCACTGGAGTCCTCAACTGAGGGCTTCATAACAGGGTTTAGTTGTCAGTCAGTTCCTCTGAGACAAAAGTTCAGTGTCCGTGAGCTCAGGCCACCTGGTGGCACAGCCAGGACCCCAGCATGTTGGTTTATTACAGAGCTGGAGAGGAGCTCACCCATGGTGCTCAAACTGCTTCCCTGGCACCCACAGAAACACTCCATAATTAGGGTTTGGGTGGCAGCATTCTAACATGTTCATGCTCTCTTGTGATCGGATCTCACTGTTGTGTTTCTGTAGTTATTTTTTTAGTTAAATTGAATCAACTCCGAGTTGGAATTTGAAATACTGTCTCAGAGAAATGGATGGTCCCATACTTAACCTTCTTCTTCCCCTATTTTTATGTCCCCCATGGTCTTTATCTTTACTACTTTGTGGAATAGAAAAGTTTATAGAGGTAACCATGTATGTTATTTCTCTCCCTAAGGAGGTTGTTGTGAAAAAGAACGTGTGTAAGATAAACATAAACGTGGGCAGAGCAGTATGATTCTCATGTTTTTCCCCGAATGGCCACATGCTGTTTTTTTCTCCTCTTCCCTTTTTTGCGTGATTTGTTCCTGACTTCCGGGGGGCAGTGGGCAAGGGGTCAGTCAGGGCTCTAGAGAAGATACAGAGAACAATCGGCTGAGTCAAGTATGATCTGCATACATTTGTTGATAATATGAACCATCTGTGGGAGAGTCCTGCTGTAAGTATTTCAAACTGACTTCCGATTAAATTCTTCTGTTCGCAAGGACTATCCGTGACGACCATGAATTACATATCCACCCTGCCTCGGTCCTCTACGCAGAGAAGCCGCCTCGCTGGTGAGCACCCCCCTACTCCTTAGCCTAGTAATGGCTCAGAAGGCCAGGCCTGGTTCCCGTTCACCCCTGGGCCCCCGGGCCTGGCACTGTGCCAGGAGTACACATTTGTTGACTTTGTTATGCTGAGTCGTCCACAGGATTCTGCCCTGTCACAGATTTCCTTATGCAAATGGTGATGTTCCTCTGCTCATTCGTGGACTCAGCAAATGTTCGTTTTCACCCACAGACTAGATGCCAAACCCTGCACTGGGCACAGCAGTGTGGAGGCGAATTTGGGTTCTGGGCCACAGGCCTGAGCATCCAGCACCTCAGGACAAGGGCCCGGGGGAGGGGTAGAAAACACGGAGGTTGGCACCTCATGTGCCAGGGAGAGTGACGGCTGGTTTCGTGGAGGAATCGACATTTGCTCTGGGGCCTGCAGATAGGAGTTGTTGGGCAGAAAAGGATGAGAAGGGAATACAGACTGAGGAAGCAAAGTCATGGGAACGTGAAAGAACCCCCTTTCTGAGAAGTGGGGAGTCATCGGGGCGGCCTGCCCCAAAGTGGTCTGGGAGGCGGTGTGAGTCTGCGACGTGTCTGGAGGAAGAGACATACGCTCGAGTTAAAAGGAGGCAGTTAGGCTTTTTTTTTTTTTTTAACATGTATTTATTTTTGAGAGAGAGGCAGCATGTGAGCAGAGGAGGGGCAGAGAGAGAGGGAGACACAGGATCTGAAGCAGGCTCCAGGCTCCGAGCTGGCAGCGCAGAGCCCGACGCGGGGCTCAAACCCACGAACCGTGAGATCGTGACCTGAGCCGAAGTCGGATGCTTAACCGACTGAGCCATCCAGGCGCTTCACGTTTAGGTTAAGTTTTTGTCTGCCCAATTTAATAATGGAGAACTGGAGCCTACCTTTTGTATGTCTTTCAAATCTCATTTTTCTAGTAATTCATTTGTATTGTGTTTTACAAAAATATTTCTTTCCCAACGGATGGGAAAATTTTACAATAACAGCTGGTTCTTCACCACAGCTAGGTGGAGAAGCCTAGGCAAGAGCGTGCCATGTGTGGAGAGGGGAGAGGGGATCACAGCAGGAGAAAGTAGAGGGCAAGAAGGCCCATTGTAAGGTACTTGGCACCCCAGAGTAGTGGTTTCCAAAGTGTCATTTCCAGGTAAGCATCCGATTCACCTGGAAGCCTGTTAGAAAGGAAGGTTTTCAGGCCTTGCCCAGCCTTTCTGAATCAGAAGCTGGGGCGGGGGTGGTCCAGCAGCCAGTTTCAACAGGCCCTCCAGGTGATCTGATGAGGGGTCAAGTTTGAGATCCTGTCCCCAAGACCAAGGAATCAGACTCTGTCCTGTAACCAGTGCAGGTCCAAAAGCTGCTGAGCCAGCGCAGGGCTTGGTCAGTCAGTTCGGGGTTTAGAGATGTTACCTGATGTCGAGGCGCCAGGGTGGCTCAGATGATTGGGCATCTGACTTGGTCTCAGGTCATGATCTTGCAGTTCATGGGTTCAAGCCCCACATCGGGTTGTCTGCTGTCAGCATAGGGCCTACTTCAGATCTTCTCTTTGTCTCTCTCTTGCTCGCTCGCTCTCTCAAAAATAAACAAACATTAAAAAAATTTTTTTTTTTAATGGATTAAAATACTCTGTCCATTAGCGTGCAGAATGAGTTGAAGAGGGAAGCGAATCTCCGTTCTAGATCCTTCCCCAAGGGTCTGCTGACTTCGGGATGACTAATTTGGGAGTTGCTTAATTTGGGAGACTTCTTTTTCCTGCTTCATTCCCAAGGAGCCCTGAAGGGCAAAGGGAGCGTGGCTGAATAGGGCCCGTCCTGAGGCAGCCCCGTAACCTTAGGGTGGCCGAGGAAGCACCCTTCCCCTCCTGCTTCTGCAGACAGCCCCCCTTCACTGGATCCGCCCTTCAACAGCCGATTATTTGCCGTCTTCAAAGGGCGCACGGTGGCAGTGTGGCTGGGTGATTATAGTTGTTAGGGGAGCCCTGAATCAGCAGTTCGGGCGCTCAGAAACGGTATCTTATCTAAAAATGCATTCTAAAATCTGGGGATTTGAAGTGATCTTCTTGGCTCTTGGTGTCTTTTACCTCAGCCTCAGGCCAACCCCCCCCCCCCCACCTCCTTTTTTCTCTTACGTAGAGGTGTAACTTATGTACAGTGAGCTCATTGGCACCTGTGCACACCCATGTAAGCCACACTCCAAATAGGATGGAGAATGTTTTCATCTCTAAGAACCTCCCTGTGTCTCTTTACAGTTAATTTCCATCCCCTTCAGAATCAGGTAGGTCTTCGCTTCTATTTCTACATCTTCTAATAGAGTCAGGTGTTCTGTTGAGAGTTCTGTAAATGCAGACCTGGAATCCGGAAAGGTCCTGTGCTGATAACAGATGCTCAGACATGAGTCTGAACAGACTTGACGTGTCAGACAACGGCCATGTCAGACTGAGTCTCGCCTGTAAAGTGGACACACTTACCCACCCCTCAGGTCATGAGGCGCGAGCGAGTGTGGTCTCCGGTGCACGCGATGGGTCCCCGGTAAACGGGAGGGAACCCGCCGTCTCTGATTGCTGTGGTGCTTGATTTTCATTGTAAGACACGGGAAATCCATGTTTTCTCCTGGTTGCAGGGTCATCTACAATGAAGTCATACAGACCTCCAAGTACTACATGAGGGACGTGACCGCCATTGAGTCTGCTTGGCTGTTGGAGCTGGCTCCGCACTTCTATCAACAAGGAACGGTAGGGGTGAATAGAGACCGTCCCTCAAAACCACCCGTTAGCTGCCTCTCCGTATGTTGAAGTACAGATCGGTGCTCCGCGCCCGTTTAGTGCCCTAAGTTTGTTCCCCCTCAAAAGTGCATGGGGTGCAAAGGTCACTACCGTATCTCTGCCCCATTCTGGGTAAAAGCACTGTACCATTTGCTCATCGTGAAGTGCACTTAGAGGTATTTCTTTAGAAATAATCCCTCCAACCTAAAAGACAACAAAGAGAATGTATCTTCAGCTCTTCCTCTCCCCCTCTGCTTTTTTTCTTCGAAAGAAATTATGTCACACTTTGGACCATGTTCACAAGGAGTGGCACAAATATTCTCTGGTGAAGATTGCCTCACAAAGAACACAGCCAGGTGTGCGAGCTTAAACCCGGCGTGGTTCACACAGTGGTGGGTGATGCTGAGCGCTGGCATTACCGTGAACGTCTGTCCTTCTTCCCTGCCAGGCCCACGCGCAGGGCCCGCAGGGTGGTGAGCCTTGCAGAGGAGACCGTGGTCCTGTTTTCTTTATTTTCACCAAAAAATGGTCTGTTCATCGGGCGAGGGGGGAAGGCCATACATTCTTCTGATAAGATCTTTAATTGAGTGGTGGTTCTATCTGGAAGGCTGGCGTGAAAACAGGTAAACCAGCATCCACAAACTTCCGTTGACTCATGCTGTTTGGTCTGCGTCCTGTATTTCACTGGATGGTTCAGCGTAATCACACATCGTGCAGTTACTGGAATGGTTAGAGTGAAGTCCGCCATCTTGCTGGTGGTTTTCTGTCGTCTGAATTAGTTTGGTTTTGTTTTTCGTTTTCTCTTTTTTCCTGCCTTGCTGTCTGTTGCCCAGTGCCCAAAGACAGTTGCTTCAGATACTTTTTCAGTTTTACCACTATGTGCCCCAGAAAGGAAAGTCCAAAACCTGTTACGTCATCAGGGTTGTAACCAGACTGCAGTGTCCTCAACCCAAAACTTGGATTGACGGGCGCATCTAAAAATGGGGAGATTTCACGATGATTATGGATTTCAAGTTTCTCTCAGAATGTTAAGTCTGCCGGCACTGGGCCCGCATGACCCGTCGGCAGCAATCAGCAGGGGTGAGGAGCGGCTGCGCGCTGTGACTGTCACTGTCCCGGGGCCACAGTCCGGCTTCACTTGTGTATTAATTCACTTGCTCAACTCTGGGACACATTTGAGTTGTGGCCCCATAAATGGAAAGCTCTTCTCATCTCTTCCCCTCCAGCAATGTCAGTGGACATTGTTCTTCCAGAACTTTCTTACACTATTTAAATCTTATCCAGTCAAAGGAAAAATATCTCAAGCCTGTATAGTTCTCCACATGTCCTCATACGGATACTTCAGCTGGGAACGAGATCAGCCGCAGGCACTGATCAGAATTCAGAGTGTGTCGCCCGTGCTGGGTCCGGCTGGCAAGAACACACCTGGAGTGAGGGAGCATCTGCCCCTGAGAACCTTTCGGGTGGGAAACAGCAGAGTTCCGAGGTCCAGGAGACGTGGGCAGAGCCGCCGGCTGGGAGCTGAGAGCGACACGCTAGGGAAGGGCTGGTTCAGGTCGTAGCGTGCGGGGGCTCGAGGGGTGAACCCGGAGCCGTCTTGGACTCGTTCTTTGGGGAGCAGGATTGACCTAGAGGCTGGGTCCTTTTCCCCTCTCAGCTCGGAACCACAGTTGGAGCCCAGCAAGTTAAAGGGCAGAGAGCCCCCAGGAGTTTGAAGAAAATGACAATCGCAGGTTTCTGCACTGGCCTCTTCTCTCCAGATGCCTGTGGTCCACTCATCAGTCCGTTCAGATCACTGCCTGCGATCGGAGTATCTTTAGAGATGCCCGGGCCTCTACAGGTCATCCGGTGCCACACCTTCACTGTACAGGCGAAGGCCCTGAAACCCCCCAAGAACCTCGGTCCCTTCTTACCCAGACGGTTCAGAGGTCCTTCTGTATGAACTTGCCCGGAATGAACGGACTTCTCCAGGAGCCCCGCAGGTCCCAGTGGCTGCCCATGTGTGGTGGATGCTCCTTTGTGGAACACAGCGCCCCGCGCCCCCCCCCCCCCCCCCCCCCCACCTGTGATCCCCGGCTCTGTTCCTGGCACCTGTGGTGACTTTCCATCGCTGTTGTCTTCAGAGTGTCACTCTCACCCTGTGTTGGGGCCTGAAATGGTCCAGAGTCGGCTGTGTTCATACTCAGCATTCTTGTCGGAAAGGAGCACCAAAAACGGTCCCACAGGCGTGATGACGTCATCCTCACCCCCAAGCTAAGGGCTGTGAGCGTCTCACGTTAGTTGGAGGGGTCACACCAGGTAGAGTGCGGGGAGGAGAGAAGTGACTCCCACCTGGAGGCAGCAGGGTGACCCGTTCAGAGATTCGCCTTCTTGTCTTTAAATTGTATGTCCTGATTCTCAGAGATGCCCTTGGGATCTAGGAAGAACCCTAACCAGGGCCTTTGCAAGAGCCCGTATGGGTCCTTTCTCCAGCTTACGCGGTTAGAAGGAGACTTCTTGTGACTCCCTTAGACTCATGTCCCACTCCGTCAACTCGTGCATTGTGCTCGGTGGTGCGTGGCGTCTTTTGCACCCCGCGCTCTTCCAGGGCCTGCAACTCCCCTTCAGCAGTGGCGCGGCCGCCTCCGCCCACGTGGGTGTGCGGCCGTTGGGTGATGGGCGTGAGCGTGCTGGGGACTGGTGGTCCGATTGGGAGTTGCTCGTGTGAAGGTCCCTTGGCTGCTTGTTTGTGACTGTCGAGGGGGTACCAGGGATACCTCAGGTGGTAAACAGAGGTCCTTTATCAAAAGCGTATGTTTACATACTCTGCCTTAAATGCATATTTCACAGTTTCCGGCACTTCTGACTTTACCTTAGAACATCAAGTCTGATGGAAACCCTAAATCTATCATCCGATGCCCATGATGATGTTGTACATCGTACGTTGTACTGGTGGGGAGCAACGTTTCTGAAAGGAAAAAAAGGTGTCCTTTTCCTGTGTGCCTTCCCTGCACGCACACTTGCAAGGGGGTGCACGGGGGACTGTGCCCCGAGCACACGCACTTGCACGCGGAGATGCTTGGTGAAATGATGGATCTCCTTGTTCCTGAGGGGAGGAGGAATGGTTCCTCCATTTCCTGGTTCCTTGACCATTTGCAAGAAATTCCTGGAAACGTGAAGTGACCTGCAGCCTGAGCCCAGTCCCCTGAGCACGGAAGGTGTGGCTGCAGTGCTGTCCCAGGGGCTGGGGCAGAGGGAGAGCGTGTTCCATCGACACCTTCCCGCAGAGCCCTCGGTGAGCAGGCTCGACCATGGCGGGCTGGGCCTCGGGCTGCTGTGCCTTCCCAAAGCCAGTCCATCGCCTTTGTCCGTCACTTGGGCTTTTTCCCTCCAGACTGTTGCCCGAGGGGCATGGCGTCTGCTGAGAAGGTGTGAACCAGAGGGTGGCTTTGATTGTATATGTGGGCGTTGTGAAGTCCGGTCTCTTAGCACCCCTAACTCTGGTGTTTCTTTTCTCTTGCAGCACCTGTCCCTCAAAGCGAAAAGGGCCAAGGTCCAGGACCAGTGAGCAGAGCTCAGCCGCAGGGGCCTCGGTGCCCTCTCCTCCACACTGTGGCCCCCCAGCCCTGGGTAGTGAGCAGGCCCCGGCTCACATGGAATCTTCCGCTGTCCTGCAGTGGGCCGCAGCCTGTCCGTTAGCCCCTTCCTTCCCGCTGCCCTCCACGTTTGCGTTCCTTGCTGGGATCCCGGGGGAGTCTGTGCATGAGCAGGCATCCCGCTGTGCCGCACCCAGGCCGAGTGGGGGTGGGAGGGCCGTGCTCTCTGCTCACTCAGCACTCTCGCTGACCCAGCATGCCACTTCCAGCAGGCACAGAGTTCTGGCCCAGCTTCCTGGGGAACCAGGAGGAAAGCTAGCCACCGCAGGCAGAAGTGCTATGCAGGGTGGATGAGGGTTGCTGGGCTGGCTTCGCTTTCCCTGGCGGGGCCACGGCTGTGCTGACCAACAAAGTCCGCTGCCAGGTGTGACAAGCATGCGTCTACGAAGGGAGGAGACCGCACTGCAGTTTCTGCTGGAGTCACTGAGGCGCGTGTCTGGCAGGCACAGGGGCTCCCCAGGTGAGCAGCTTCTGTTCTCCCTCTGTGCCGTGTCCCTGTCTGTATGCGGCAGGAGATGCGCAAGGCTTGGTGATCCGTAGGCGGGACTTGTGCGCACTGTCCTTTGTTAGCAGAGAAGATTTCTCTCTCTCACAAGTGGGCTTAGCTTTCTGTCTGCGTACGACACCACGTCCTGATGCCATCAGCTGAGCACCGGTGAGCTCGTCAGCTCAAACCCCGTCGGGAACCCTCTGTCGCAGAAATTCACAACCGTTTAGAGGCTCTAAGCTTCTGTAGCTCAGGAATACAACTTGTATATTTGGTTTTTGTTTGCTTGGGTTCTGTGAGAACACCGGGGCAGTCCCTCCAGCAGGCCCTGGTCTCGGTGCTGCCCCGGGGCTTCTTTGCCGTGATGACGTTTGTGTTTCAGCACATGCCGATGCAGGTGTTTTTCCCCTTACTGTTTCAATGACCTTTATTTTAAAAACATGTAGCTTGAAAATTTATTTTTGTACTGATCTTAGTTTGGATGTGCCACTTTTGGCACCAAATATGTATGTCATTTTTATTTCCATTTTGTAAACATGTAAATAATAGTGATAACTTGTTAATAACAGTAAACCTTTCTACCTAAAGTAAACATGTTCCCTCCCACCCATGGTCCTTGTGGTCTGTATTTTAACGTGGTCCAGTGAATTCTGAGAGAGGGGCTGACATTCGCTAAGACACCTGATGATCTGGTGCACAGTAGCCTTTGAGGCCCCGTGGACACGGGAAGCCTCATAAAACGAGGTCGATGCAGCCATGTGCCCTCAGGAGCTCATTAGAGCAAACCATGAGGTGTTGTTTAAATAAAGTGCGAAAGAGATGCTAATTTTTGCCAGTTTCTGATTGGGATCATTCCGTAGAAAGGTCAGTAAGGTCTGAATTTAGGACCAGGCTGATCGCAATAAACCACTGTGTGAGGTGGGAGGAAGAAAAAGCACAAGATCCGAATCCTCTGGGGTGAGGCTGGGGATCTAGAATGGGAGAGTGAATAGGTGGTGGGGGTGGGGCAGTGCACAGACTGGTTGGAGCACGGCGTCACTGGCCACCTCTCCCTGGGTGTCACTGGCTCCGGACACATCTGCCCCTGTACCTCCGCCTCAGGGCAGCCCTCAGCAGGGCGGCTGTTACAGGCGGAGAGGGATCGTCACTGTCCAGGGCACAGCCACAAAGGCCCGACCTGGCTGAAGGCCCCCTTCCTGTGTATGAACAAGAATGTAGCCTGTCAGCCACGTCCCAGCCTGGAGGAGAAAGTGGGGACCGTGGCCATCGTGGCCACATTGCCTGGCACCCCAAGACTGTCCCCTGTGTAGTTTCACAACAGCCAGTTCCCTGGGGCTCATCAGAGGTTTTCAGGTGTTTTTAGTGACGTTTCTACGGCACTGAGTGTCTTTCTTTGAAGGCAGGTGCTCAGGTGAGACGGTGGAGGGGAGTTTGTGCTGGAAGCATCATAGAGGCGGTGGTGTCCTGTACCCCCGAGATGGAGTTTTCTTGGCTGGTGGCTCTTTTCCTGTCGCCGGTCTCCCTGAGGGTGCCGTCACAGGGGCCCTGGCCCAGCGCTGCTCACCCAGTCCATCAGCACAGCCTGGGCACGCGGGCTGTGTGCTGGGGACAAGCGACTGGGCTGGTGGGCGGGTGAGAGCTACCCCGTGGGAGGGACCGCAGAGGCCAAGGTGGCACTTAGAGGCCAGGGCAGCACCCAGAAGAGGCTTCCCCACGACAAGACCCTTTCCTTGTGAACGTAGATCGTGCTCATGTCCCGCCCTGTCTGTGCTGTCCCAGCTGAACGTTTCACTTCGACTGTGAACTTGGCGGATGCAGGGCCCCAGCTCCGCGCTCGTCTACTGTTGTCCGACATCGGGGCAGCCTGTGACCGGCGCTGCTTGCTCTCGGTGGCCCGGGTGCTGCCATTCAGTCGGGGCCCCCTCGGGCCTTCTGCCCTGTTCTCAGCTGTGCTTTGCGGGCCCCAGTGCCGATGGGCTGGCTGGTCCTTTGGGGGGTCACGAGGTGCCGGCCCCACACTTTTACCAGCTGCCCTTCCAGAATGAGGGGCATGGAGTAATGAGCATTCTGAAAAGCTGAAGTGAGTCTGTAAGAGACCTTTTAGTCTTTTTTTTTTTTTCATTTTTGGTGCTTCACGTTCCTTCTTTTAGAAAATGATGGCGACAATTACATGGTAGTTTGAAAGTCTGTTCCTTGGAAAAGTAAAATCCCAACAGCCTTACATCAGTCTCCCCGTTCAAAACAAATTCAAAACAAACACGAAAATTGGTTGATGAAATCCGCAAGGCAGGGACCCCTTGGATTGTAGGCCAAGCAGATTTGGGGCCTGCTGGCGACATCAGCACTGGGCAGCACAGCCCTGGGAGAGCGACCTTCCTGGCAAGTAGCTGACTCTCCGATGAACCTTGGGAGCCGCTGGGAGGTTCCCTTGCCTTGATGTAATTGGAAGGATTCAAATTAGCGGGACTCGGCCCCCACATCCCTTACCTCATCTTTAGATAAGATCAGATATTTTCCACTCTCATGACTCACCTGGAATCTTCCTGAGGCTTCTAACTCGTGCTAAAACAGGATGGTGGAACTCTGCATTTCAGTTTAATCCTTCTGTCATCGAAACTGGAAATAGCCAATCAAATCATTTTCCACACCGCTGGCCACTTCGGATAAGTAGCTGGAGCCTGTGTGGCAGGGCTCTTAAAGACGGTCCTCAAGGTCATTGCTCCCTCTGGCAAGCCAAGATGACATTCCACTGTCTCTGGCGGATCACGGAGGTGCTACCTTGTGCTCTTGGGTGGTATTGAGCTTGTTCCAACAGGCCATCTCCTCGCTCACAGCAGAGATCCCAGTGTGGCACCTGCCCCCGGCCCTGGGGCATACGCGGCCTCAGCCTCCGCCTGGGTTCTGCTGAAGGCAGTGAGCCAGCCAAGGAGGCCGGGAGGTTTGCAAGGGAGCCAGTGTGGTGGTGCCCAAGACTTGTCTGTTAACCGTGGCCCTGAATCCGGAGGTCCAGGCTGGGCTCTTCGCTGGCCCCGGACTCAGGGGACAAACACTTACATGATCCAAAAGGAGCCCAGGCTCCCTGCCTCCTGCCCTCACCCCTGGACCCCAGGAGCCCTGAGGGCAGGATTGGCTGATAAGGGCTTACCTGTCTGCCCTCAACTGGTTTATTTTAGCCTTTTCTTTCCGTCCTGCTTGCTTTCTGTTCTGTTCTGTTGTTACCGTGTTTACTCCTAGCACCTGTTGCTTGACTTCCACTGGGGCAGATGCTTTGTCCCTTTAGTCTTTACCTCTCTGACTTCTGCATTGTTTCCCTTTTTACCATGAAACTTGAAAGTGAATATGGATGTGTGGGATTTGCTTCATTTGTCTACTTTTTTAAAGAAGTACTTTTACCTTGGGGCGCCTGGGTGGCTCAGTCGGTTAAGCGTCTGACTTCGGCTCAGGTCATGATCTCGTGGTTTGTGAACTCGAGCCCCATGTCGGGCTCTGCGCTGACAGCTCAGAGCCTGGAGCCTCCTTTGGATTCTGTGTCTCCCTCTTTGCCCCTTCCCCACTCGTACTCTGTCTGTGTCTCTCAAAAAATGAATAAACTTTAAAAAAAAAGAAAAAAAGTATTTTTACCTTAGCCTATATTCTAACTTTTTAAAAAAGTTTTTAAGGTTTTTTTTATTTTTGAGAGACAGCATGAGCTGAAGTCAGATTCTCAACCAACTGAGCCATGCAGGCGTCCCTAACTTCTTGATCTTGTTTATACTTTATTTATTTGTTTCTAACTTTTATTTTGTACTTTTAGGTACAAAAAGAAATCTCATTTAGTTAGGTTTTTGTTTTTGTTCTGTAAATATTTCCTAACATTATTTTCATTTTAATATTACCAGTTATTTTTTTAAACATTCATTTAAATATTTAAATGGGGCTGGAGCCCACGAACCACGAGATCATGACCTGAGACTCTTAACCGACGGAGCCACCCAGGCGCCCCTGTTACTAGTTATTTTTAATGTTTATTTTGAGAGAGAGAGATAGAGCACAAGCAGGGGAGCAGCAGAGAGAGAGAGAGAGAGAGAGAAAATTCCAAGCAGGTGCCATGCTCAGCACAGAGCCTCACGCTGGGCTCAAACTCACGGACGGAAACTCACGATCATGACCTGAGCTGAAACCAAGAGTCGGATGCTCAACCAACTGAGCCACCCAGGCGCCCCTTAATATTACTATTTTTTAAACTCCCCTGTACAATTTACTTTCCATTTCATTTCCCCTCCATTACCCGCCTTCTGCTATATCTTAGTCAGCTTCGTTTGTTTTCATGGTTGGCGACAGGCCTAACTGGTAGGTGTGGGAGCTGAGCGAAGAGGTTTGCAGTGGTTGAAATGGGCAAAGGGTTCACTGCCAAGAATAGACAAGGAACTCCTACAAATCAACCAT